GTGGTTTTTAGGTGGTAGTGTTGAGATTTGGCCTTTAATCAATCCTCATTACACTTGAAGCACTTTCAAAGGGGACTTTAAAAAAAAAAAAAGCCCTTATGCTTGAAAAGGAATTAAATAACTATCAAGCAAATTCAGTTCTTAAGTTTATTTTTAATGTAGAGATTGCTATTACACAAAGCTAAATCTCAGGTGGAGTCAGGATGTGGTCTAATTTGTACTACTAATTGGGCAGCATTATGTGGTCCTCAGCAGCCTGCCCTGGGGCTTCCAGGATGCGCCTCCTGCACAGACCGTGCTGGGTGCAGGGCTGACGCGGCCACCACCCTGCCTGGCCCACTCCTTCCACCCCACCCACCCCAGGGCTCCTCGTGCCCCAGTGTCCCTGCTGCTTGCTGTTCCTCAGCTGTGAGGAATATAGTGGCTGTTTGTCAGGATTTAGGTCCAAACATCAGACATCAGCTCATCAATCTGAACCACAAGTAACCAAGAAATAATCCTCTTCCTGATTGCTGAAACGCAACTCAGTAAATTACTTTCTCATAGTTTACCAGAATATTTCAATAAAAATATCATCAGTGGGCTCAAGGAATATAGAAAGACTCCAGAAAGCATTTAGGGTCTGCTTACGCGTCCAGAGCAATGTCCCGGCCGGGCCGTGTGGCCTGACTGCTCTCAGCTGAGCCGCTGCCGGTCTGCTGCACTTCGGCTGAGCAGGCACAGGCGGGGCTTCCTGCTCTGGCTCTGGGTGGTCAGCTTTCCTGTCCGTGCCCAGCTGTGTACGGTGGGCATTTGGCAGCTCTGAGCGTGGCCTTCAATGCAAAGGCAGGGCTGGCGAGACCAGTGGCAAACAGCCTCTAGGGTGCCCGAGTCGGTGGCCCAGGGCACCTGGCCTCTGAGGGAGTCCTGTGGTCACAGCTTCCAGCCCCGTTTGTGAGGCAGATGGAGACTACACAAAGGTGCATCCGGTGCTTAAGTATGCAAATGCGTAGTGCAAAGCACCTGTTTTTTAGTGTCTTGGGTTTTTGTTTTAAATGAACTTCTGATCAAATGTTTAGTAAAAAGTTCAGTGACATTTGCAGACATTCACGTACTACCATCGTAGGCCCTGCTGCAGTTTCCTGTCCGCTCCTCACACCACGCAGCGCTGTGCATGGGACTAAACACTGAATCCTTAAGAGTTGCCGGCAGTTTTCATGACCTGTATCCGGAATGCACTCTTTAATCAGTCAAAGATGCCTGTCTTCCCTGAGCACAGGCCCCTGCTGCTCCCTCTGGGGAGAAGTGTGCTCTGGAAACTGCTGAGCGGCTGCACCATGGCAGAGCACTGTCTGGCACGAGAGAGGCCCTGGGTTTGGGTCCCACTCTGCAAAATAAGTAGGTTAAAAGCTAAAAGTAGGTAAAGAAGGTGCAGAAAGCAAGAGCTTGAGGTCAGAGCCCTGGTCCTGGAGGCAGCTCTGTCCCGACATGGAGGCTCACCTCCCTGCAGGCCAGAGGAAAGTAGGGACATGGACACATCTCCCCAGTGTGACTCATCACTGGGACCAGCTCTCAGACTGCGGCCCAGTGGCCGCCACCCTCCTGCCCTGCTCCCGCCCGGGGGAATGTGGACGCAGACCCACATGCCTGGGGTGTGTCTCTTACACTCCCATCCTTGTCCCTGGTGGCTGGAACTGTGTGGAACCTCACAAAGGTGCCAGTGGATCAAGTGGGTGAAAGATAATAAATAGGAGTTGATTTTTTAAAAAGGGGAAATTTTAAAAATTTGCTGTCCTTTTAGTGATTTTTTTCTTTCTAGAACTTTCCTTTAAGAGGAGAACTCTGGGTGGGTGAGTATGTGCAGGGATAGGCAAACTGGGTGGTGGGTCACAGTCTGAGAACTCTGCCTGAACTATAGACCAGCAGACAGGTCTGCTTGCTCTGCTGGTGCTCCTGCCGGCGCCTGCGCAGGGAGCGGCCTGAGCTGCAGGGCCCTCATCCACCCGGGGACCCACTTTCCAGGGACCGAGACCAGTAACACCTGGAGTCCCATTGGGGGCATCCTGGTCTGCCCTTGTAAGCTCTGCTCGTCCTGAGTGGACCTCTGCGACCTTCCTTTGGAGGACCTGAAGGGCCATGCCTTCTCACTGCCATCAGAGCGATCGTCTCTGTCACCATCTGTGCCATTGCCATCAGGCCTCCCGAGCCCTTCCTGGCACTGGAAGACTGGTGGTCCCACTGATGTACCCTCAGCTCACCAGTGTGGAAACAGAAAGCTCCCTCCTCCGTCCCACTTCTCCCCAGGGTCCCTGGCCTGTTCCCCACGCCCGAATGCAGCTCCTGCTCCTCTGTGGCCATGGCGCACCTGCCCTCGCCACCCAGTGCCACCTCCCTTAGCGCTGGTTGCAGAAGGTTTGCCCTATGGTTGGTTACCTGTCTCGAGCATTTGTTCAGGGTGGGAGTGCCTATGTCTGGGAATGGGAGCGTGAATGTCTCCGTGAGCGAGCGGTCCTCTGACAGGCTGCCCTGCGCAGGGAAGGCAGGTAGGCCAGACTGCACACTGCCGAAGTTGCCCCTTGAACAGAGGGGCAAAGCTGCTTCCTGTCGCCGGGGCTAGGGTCCCTCCTGTGCACCCTCCGAGTCTGTGTGAGCTCCATGGCCGAGGCTGCTCTGCCTGGGGCGCAGCGCCCACTGCAGAGAGGATTCATCCTGATGTAGCCCTGCATTTGACAGCCTGGCCTCGGGGACTCCACACGACGGTTCTTGAGTGGTGAGATTGGTACTCAGATCTGAGATGGCCCTGAAGTCAGAACCTGTGTTGTGTGGACCCTCTTGAGACTGCAACCAGCCACTTAGTTAACGTTCCTAGTTGGTTAGATTCAGGTCCTCCCGCAGCCTTGCTGACCCTGTTTCTAAGGGGTCCACTGCAGGTGGACCCTTGTCCTCACCTGTAGGATTTCCACCCAGAAAAACTGCACTGGGATTCTGCTGTGCAGAACTCAGAAGTATGTGTAACTAACACAAATTGTATTTCTGAATAATGACAGTTACCTGGGGTATGTGGTAAAGGTGGCAAGGAAACTTATTTCTCTAAAGATGTTACCCGTTGATTACAGTTTCTCAAAATCACCATGGAACCTCACATCAGGATAGATTCCAGGTACATCATGAAACATGGAAAAGCAATGTTATGGTGGAGGTGAGGTGTCCCCCAAGAGCTCTCGGGTGAGACAGTGCAGCAAGGTTTGGAGGAGAAACGACTGGGTGGTGAGAGCCTTAACCCAGTCGGTGAATTAACCCGCTCAGAGGGAGTCCCTGGGTGGTGACTGAGTGGTGGGTGTGGCTGGAGGAGGTGGGGATGAGACTTAGCTGGCAAGTGGAGACCTCTCTCTCTGTTCCTGAGCATCATGTGAGCCGCTTCCCTGTGCCACACTCTTCTGCCATGATGTCCTGCCTCACCTTGAGCCCTGAGGAGTGGAGCCAGCCTCTTATGGACTGAGACCTCTGAAGCTGTGAGCCCCTAAATACACCTCCTCTACAGTTGTTCTGGTCAGATCCTCTAGTCATAGCAGCAAAAAAGCTGACTAAAACAAGCAATATACCAAATGATTGAATAAAACTTAGCACCAGAGCAGTAAGAATAAGCTAAAAATGATTTTTTTCAATCAAACTTTCTTTTATTTTTGGCGATAGTGGCTGTTGAGCCCAAAGCCTGGCCCATGTTAAGACAAATATTCTGCCTCTGAGCTACACCACCCAGCCCTAAAATTTTTTTGTTTTGCAAACTTTTGAAAGGAAGACCAGTCATAAAGCTTCAAGGACACGGAGAAATTCCAAAGGGCAGTCCAGAGCGGACTGCGCAGACCGGCACGGGAGCCTCAGAACCCCTGAGTTTCCTGGGGCAGCACGAAGCAGACGTCTGGGCCTCCTCTTGGACAGTCCACAGCTGAGGCCAGTCTCCGCCTCTCCGGGAGGACCGTGGCCCCCGTGCCTCCCTCCATGTGGCTGGGTGTAGGCTAGGAATACCTCACAGCTTCCCCGTGGGGTCAGCATGCTGGGCCAGCACACAGCAGCTCTCCTTATGTCCACTGTCAAAGGAAGTCACACGACTCGGTGAATAGAACGTGTGCACACAGACCCCGTGCGGTCCCCACCCGACTGTGGGAGGCTCCTGAGGCACAATGAGCAGGGCACACCCCAAGACAAGAGAGCAGCCCAGTCCCAGGGTCCCCAAGGACATCAGAGATGCCAGCCTAGCCCCTCCATGTCACCAAGGGTGGCCCGAGTCTGGGAAGCAGGGTGTCTGCACCCCTGGTGCTTGGTGGACACATCTTGAAAAGCGCTTAGAGAGATGGCCGAGCTGTATGAGGTCTGTGCAGGTCACTCAGAACGCGGCAGCCTCGCCCGCCAATGGGTATCCATTAGCACAGCTTCTGACAGCAGCTGAGGCCTCCCAGCAGGAAGCAGTTCCACATAGAGGCTCACTCTGCTGGCCCCATGAAGTGTTTTGGGCCATTAGAAGTGCCCTGAGTACCATGCAATACCAAGGGACATCCTCAGGGCACTCCTCAGGAGCAGGGCAGCTGCCGAGGGCCATGTGCAGAACACTGGTGGCTGTTTTCTTCAGGTGTCTTTAAAAAGCCATCACCATGCCACAAAACAAGCCCAAAGCACAGTTTCCACCTCGGCCACCTGGCCAAGTTTGCTCTCCAAGTGGCCCCAGGCGGAGAGGGCAGAGCCACCCTTGGACACGGGAGGCCCCGCTGCTGTGTGTCTGCAGCCTTCCTGTGAAGCCGAGTGGGGCCCTTGTGCTCGCACAGAGCCTCGCCTGGTTCCCCTGCAGTAGTGAGAGGGAGCCACCTCGCTGCCCTGCTCGCGCAGACCTGCTCTGTAGGGTGTTAAAGTGCCCTGCAGGGTGGCTGCTGTGTCCAGCGGAGAGCGGCGCGTGCTGGAAGGAGCCCTCCCGCAGCTCCCCGCCCAGGCCTCTCCCCTGGCGCCTCACCTCTGCGCTCCCTTGCCAGGTGCCGTGGCCAGCACCGAGGTCAAAATGAAGCTGCAGGAGTTCGTCCTCAATAAGAAGAAGGCCCTGGCCCACCGGAGCCTGAACCAGTGCATTTCCAGTGACCCCCGCTACTGGTACGGGTAAGTGCCGTGGGCGCGGGCCTCCCCAGGGCCTGGCGCACTGTCTGGGAAGAGGGATGCGATTGGGGAGGCCTGGGCTGAGGGGGTCTGTCAGGGAGCACTGGGCCGCACTCCTGGGCAACACTAGGCCATGTTCCTGGCCTTTTAAAACTTTTTCAGAAATTATTTTTAGTTGTACATGACAATATACTGTACTTCGAAATATTATACACATGGGGAGTTGTCACTTCCCATTCTTGGGGCCGTCCATGATGTGGCATTTCCCTGGTCGTGTGTCATGTGAGCACAGGAGAGTGATGTCCTGTTCATTCTACTCCCTTTCCCATTCCCAGCCCCTCCCTTCCCTTGTTCCCTGTTGTCTGATCCCAAATACTTCCCTGCCCCACCCCTTATTGTGTGTTAGCATCTGCACATCAGAGACAGCAGTCAGCTTTTGCTTTTCTGGGTTGGCTTATTTCACTTAGCATGATAGTCTCCAGTCCCATCCATTTACTGGCAAATGCCATGATTTCATTTTTATTTAATGCTGAGTAGTATTCCACTGTGTGTCCACACCACATTTTCTTTATCCATATGTCTGTTGAAGGGTACCTAGGTTGGTTCCATAGTCTAGCTATTGTGAATTGAGCCGCTATAAACACTGATGTGGTTGTGTCACTGTAGTGTGCTGATTTTAAGTCTTGGGTATCATCTGCCCAGGAGTGGGATGGCTGGGTCAAATGGTGGTCCCATTCCAAGTTTTCTGAGGAATCTTCACGCTGCTCTCCACAGTGGTTACACTAATTGCAGTCCCACCAGCAGTGTAAGGGTGTGCCTTTCCCCCACAGCCTCACCAGCATTTATTGTTCCTTATATTTGACAATTGCCATTCTGACTGGAGTGAGATGAAGCCTCAGTGTCGTTTTAATTTGCATTTCTCTAACTGTAGTGATGGTGGACATTCCTTCATGTGTTTGTTGACCTGTTGCATTTCTTCATCTGGAGTTGTGTCCATTTCCCTGCCTGTTTACATTGTTTCCTGGTCTTCTGCACCGTTTCTTTTTTGGGCAGCAGGAGAAGCTCAGACCTGAACTCGGGCCTGAACTCAGGCCACTGCAACCAAATGTCTACCCATATTTTATCAGTTCCTAGGCAAGTCAGGAAGCCCTTGATGTCTTTATTGTTGTTGTAGTAAGAGACCTCACCAGAGCCAGGTGGGCAGGACCACAGAGAGCTGGTCAGAGCCACAGGCCAACTCAGAGGGAGTCTGTGGCCGCCCTGCAGGGGCAAAGTGAGGTGCTTCACCAGCCATCCCACAGCAGGTTATCCCTCTGAATGTGGCTCTCTGTGCTCTCAAGGGCCACTTGGTCACTGAGAAAGAGCAACAGGACAGGGGTTTTTGTCTTGTTTTGTTTAATATTTTTAGTTGGTAGGTGAACAAAATACCTTTATTTTATTTATTTATTTGTTTTTATGTGATGCTGAGGATTGAACCCAGTGCCTCATACATGTAAGGCAAGTGCTCTACTGCAGAGCCCCAGCCCCAGCCCAAATTACATAAATCACATAAATCAAAATGTAATTAGTGATTTCATTGGTTAAAAAATCAGCAGTCCTCAAGCTTCAGAAGGTACATCTAGCCGGGCCTGGTGGCATGCACCCATCCTCCAGCAGCTGGGGAGGCCGAGGCAGCCTCAGCAACTCGCGAGGCCCTGTCTCCAAATAAAAGACAAAAGGGCTGGGACATGGCTCAGTGCTAGAGCGCCCCTGGGTTCAACCCCAGAACAGAAGGCAGACGATTGTATCAAGAGGCAGACCTCACCGGCCTCCGCTGCCACGGTGCAGTGACCAGCATCGGTGACAGGACTGCCCTCGTGTCCCTCACGGGCTCTTCGTCTTCACACGCTGCAGTTCACCTAAGCTGTGCACTCACCAGAGCACACCCTTGATATCTGTGTCACCAGAGAAGAGTGAGCACAGCAGGAAGCCGCAGGTGACAGCAGGGACGACTGGGCCTGTGAGGGGAGACCCAGAGGAATGACAGTGGCTGGTGCTGTGGGGCCTGCTGTGCCGAGGCTCTGTCCCCTCCCAGGTGGGGCGTGCCAGGCAGATGCAGCAAAGGACAGCAGTTGGGGCAGCACTTTGAAGGGCAAGGTGAGCCACAGTGAGGGGACCTGGGAATGGACAGCCTGTTGGATCATGGCTAGGGAAAAGTGTGGCTGGCTCTGCACATGGGACAGTGCGGCACTGAACTATGAGAGATCATCATGGCTACAGGGAGGGCAGCACAAAGGAGCCTCTCAGAGCAGGCGCAGTGTGGCAGGGACAGGCACAGCTCGGTACCTGGGGAGCTGGGCTAAGAAGGTGTGGGACTCAGAGCTAGGTCTTAGCTGGCACCATGGCAGGAAGTGGGGGCTGTGGCTGACCATGCTGGAACTTCTGGAGGAGAGCCATGGTGATGCACACAGTGGGATGGGGAGGAGGGCTGGCAGGGTTGACCCCACTGGAGCCCTGGAGGAGAGCCATGGAGAAGGGGACAGATGGGGACAACTGGGGAGGGGTGGGATGGGGAGTAGTGGCAAGGCAGGCTGTGGAATAGGCCCTTCCTAGTCCAGAGACCCTTAGGAAGGGGCATCTTATAATTAGCTGGGCACAGGGACTTCACCGGGGTCTGGGAATAGGTGCCTTCTAGTGAGGAGAGGTGGAAAGGGTTTCCTGGGAGCAAGGAGGGGAGATGGGAAGACTCCAGTGAGCAGGCACATGCAGGGTGGATACTGCCCTGGATTTGGTGCCTGGGAATGTCTGCTATACTCCAAGAGTTGGGGACACTCACAGTTGAAGGGGGCAACCTTGATCTCAAGGACGATAGCCAGGTGACAAGCTTGTTTTCCTTGAGTTGGGTGACTGCAGGTTTATCATTTGAGGACCCCAAAAGTGAAATGCATTCACTGTGGTTGGGAAACAGCACCTTCAAGCTGAGCTGTGGCCCCAGTGTCACACCACACTGAGGTGGCTCAGAGCTAGTCAGACAGCATGAGAGCTAAATGCTTTGGCAACTCTGGGGCGGGGGGAGGCAAAGGTCCACCAAAACAACTGTAAACCCCAAACTTGAAACATTTACCTCATCAAAATTTGAAACTTCTAAACTTCTCTTTGAAAGCCACCTAGGAAGGAAGGAGGGAAGGAAGGAAGGAAGGAAGGAAGGACGGACATAAGGACATCCTTAAGAAACTCAAAGGGCCTGTGGCACACACGGGACGGAGGGCATCGGACACCATGACTGAGCTCCTGTGCTCACTAATGCAGGTGGACAGCGGGGGAAGAAAGCTGGGGACAGCTCCGCCTGCGTGAGGCGTGAGGCACGTGAGAAGACTGCCATATGGGGGTCTTCAAGGACACAGGGATCAAAGCCACAGGGCACTGGCCACGCACCCTCTGGGCTGGCTCAGCTCTGAGAGGCCAGGGTGGTGGGAAGGTGGGTGGAGTGGCCCCGCCCTGCAGGGACAGAGATGGACAGTCTCTGGAGGTGGCTGTCCACCTGCCCTCCCCAGCAGGACACCTTCTGGTATTTACCCAGGAAAAGCACAGCGTGCCCACACCCAGGCTGGTACTGTTGTGGTCACAGCACCTTTACCTGTGGCCACCAAGGGTTAATAGGTGAGCGTCCAACAAGCAGGGTACCTCCCTCACCAGGGCCACACAGCAGCGAGAGGGCCAGTGTGATCCCAGCAGCGGCCTGGGGCTCAGGCAGCATGTGCAGATGGGGCAGACCCCCGCTCTACCTGCTGCTTCCAGTTACAAGGAACGGGAGCCAGCAGAGTGAGCTGCAGAGGCCCCTGGAGGCAGGGCTGTCGGGCCTCCCTGAGCAGGGATTCTGGATGTGGACGGACACCCGTGCTCCAGCCTGAAATTCGCTGGACTGCGCGGTCCAGTGTGGTGGTCAGTGTGTGGCCACTGAGCCCGCAAACCACGGTGCGTGCCTTTGAGGTGTGCCGACGGCAGGAGCACCGGCTTCCGGGCAACCCGTGTAAAGACAGGCTGAGCACCCACTAGTAAGGGCTGCAGGCTGAAACCACAATGTGTTCAGGTATTGCGTTAAGTAGAATACTCAAAACAGCTTCGCCCATTTCTTCTTGTGGCTACTAGAAAAATCTGAAGTTACGCATGCAGATCTATTATAGTTCTGTTGAACTGTGCATTAAACGCAAGAGTCGTATTTACATCACACACTAGTATAAATCTGATGTAATGGGGAAGGCCAATTCTTTATAGGGTTTAAGGGACTAAGTTTGTGTTGTTTCAGTCTACAGTCAAGATCATGTTTGGAAAGAAAGCAGAACAGTGTTTGTTTTTCGGTCTTCTCCAGTAAGTCAGGGATTGCCTTGGGCTTTGCTATCTAATTTGTTTACCACTTGTTTATTTTAACAGTGCTGGATAAACTCAGGGCCTCATGCATGCTGGCCAATCATTCTGCTGTTGGCACACCCAACCCCAGGGTTGTCTGGGGACCATGTTGGGCCCTCCTCCAGGGCCTCCTGTGCACACCAGCCCTGGCTTCTGTGAGCCAGGACCCAGGCTGGAATTGAAGTTTGCAGAAATGGAAGAGAAACCTTGGTCAGGGATGAGCTGGGTGGAGGGAGCTGTTCTGCCGTGTGGCCCTTGGAGGCGGAGGTTGGCGGGAGTATGTGTGGGGACCTGCGTGTGGTGCCGTGGGTATGTTGTGTGAGCATGTGGGTGTGTCGGAAAAGTGTGTATATGACATAGGGGTGTGCGAGGGCATGTGTGGGGGTGGGGTTCTGCTCTCCTCTCCTGCAGATCCTCCTGCAGGGAGTCCCAAGCGTGGGTAGGGGTGTGGAATGACAGGGCTGGGCACCACGCTGAGCACCTGGGACCCATTCCCTCTGGCGGCAGCTGTTGGAGGCTGCAGTGTTCCAGAAGGGCTGCTCTCCCTGCAGGTCATGAGGACTCGAGGGCACCCTCTGATGGCTCTGGACCCTCCTGAGAGGCCCACTGGGCCAGTGGGCAGCCTGGTGTCATGGCGGCCTGCTGGAGCCACAGCCCGTGGCGGGTTGTGCATAGCTGCCCCCTGCTGCAGCTGACTGGAAGCTTTAATGCCCACAGCTCCTCTCACTGTGAGGTGGATCCTCAGATCCTCAGCAGCCAGAGCCTCGCCCTCTGGCTGGGTTCCAAAGCGCGCTCCATCAGGTGCAGTGACAGTGAGTGTCCCACGTGATGGGTTTAGATGGTCACATTGAAGTCATTTGCAGCTGTTGAGTGACTGTCTCTAACTCACATGACGCGAGCGAGATCATACCGCATTTCTTACCAAGGAGCAAGAGAGAGTGAATAGAAAAGGCCCAGGCTGCCACGCTGCGCACGGGGCACTAATGGGGATGTTCGGTCCTGGGGAGAAATGGTGTTACTCTCAGATTCTGTGAGGCCACTGTGAGAGGAGGCCCCGGTGTCCTCATGGAGTTCCAGGAAGCTCCTGTGTGGGGCATGTGCCCATGTGCCCCGTCCCCAGGCGAAGGCCCCCAGCCCTGGCTGTGTATCTGGAGCACCCTGTGGGCAGACAGGAGGAGACCTCCCCAGAGCAGAGTCCTGCCTGGGGGTGTGGCCCGAAGCTGTTGGAGTCCTGGGGCCAGACCCGGGAGCTTGTCTCTGGGACCCCTTCAGCACGCTATGCGTGTGCATGTTCAGATATTTAAATATACACCTGGGTGCACTCCAGAGCTCCCACGGTGGACTCCAGGTGCTTGCACGTGGAGTGCTGTGCATTCAGATGGATAATCTAGCAAATTCTAAATAAGAAAGTTGGCCAGTTTGTTCCCAGTCATTAAGCAGATTATGCAGCTTAAAGACCCACAGAATGTAGGACACTCACTGTCAGTGTTCAGAGCAAAACTCACCGGCAGTGTGTCCACAGAGGCCTTATGCTGGTCGTCTTGGCTGGCCCCAGGAGCCGTGAGTCCCCTCACTCGCCTCCTCCAGCCAGCCCACTGCTGCCAGCCGTGTTCAGGACTTTGGGTGGCCCCAGCCACTTGGAAAGAATATGCTTCTAGACTGAGCCCCAGGAAGGTGTGGGGATTTTTTTGTTTGTTTATTGCTTCTGACCTGCCCCTGCCCCAAGGAAGGAAAATGACAGAAGACTCGGATGAGGGCAGGTTCTGGGGGCTTCTGCTGAAGAGAATCCCCAGGGGCTCACACTCTCAGGGAGGCAAAGAGAGCCCAGAAGTCTCCCGGGCCCATGGCCACCACCCCAACCCCGCCTCGCCTGACTGCAACCTCATCTTGGGCCCCTTGGACACGAGCCCCTCTGTCTGCCTTTGCTCTGTACCCTGTGGACAGAGCCCCTGTGTGGCTGGTAGTGACCCTGGTGGTCAGAGAACAGCTGAGCACAGGCATCTCAGAAGAGCATCTCTGGGTGACGTCAGAGAGGCTGTGGCCCTGTCGGCCAGCTTATTGGCATCAGAGAAGAGGGGCTGTGCTGACGGGCACCACGGCTCCTGAGTAAGGGCTGCCAGAGGACTACTTGCAGGCTCAGGGGTGCCCTGGGCAAGCTGACCTGTCTCTCTCCTTTTCTCTAGGAAAACGCAGCACAGTTCTCTTGACCAGAGTTCTCCGCCCCAGAGCGGGGTGTCGGCCTCCTACAACCACCCGGTCCTAGGAATGTATGACGCCAAAGATGACTTCCCTCTTAGGAAGACAGGTCAGTGCCAAGGGCTGCTGTGGCCTGGGGCTCTCTGCCAGACAGCTGTACCCCAGCTGTGCTGGGCCACATGCAGGATGTGCTGAGTGAGGGCTTTTCTTGTCAGAGCATCAGTTTGAAAATTCATCCCCAAGCATGACCTTCTGATTCATTCCAGAACACATAGCCCACGCACATAGGCCTGCTAGTCCTCCCTGGGCGAGGGCAGGGCCCACTGCTGTCCAGGGATGCAGCAGCTCTGCTCCTCAGGCAGGCATGTTCAGCAGGTGAGTGAGTCAGCCAGCGGCCCTCTGCTGGCTCTGCACAGTGTCCAGCAGGAGTTGGTCGGGACCCAGAGAGGGAGGAGGGCCCTGTGAGAACAAGATCCACCCTGCCCTGTGGGGGGCAATCCCAGGTGGCCACAGCTCGGGGCAGGAGTTCTGTTCTGAGCAGAGCGAGAAGGGCATCAAGCCTATTCTAGAAGCAGGGAGGCCGCACTGGAGCAGTCTGAAAAGACAACCGGATGCTGTTGGGCTTATGGTTTAACTGGGCAGTGGCTTTGGAGAAGGGTCAGGGTGACTGTGGGTAGTTCGTTGGGGTGGCAAGAAGGGCAGGGCCCTGAGAAGGCTGCTTCTCCTGGGGGTTGTGCAGAGAGGGTGAGAGCTGAGCTGCATCAGCCTGCGCGGAGGAGGGACACCCTCATCCCGCTGCTGCAGGGAGAGACTTTAGACTGCACCGATTCTATGCACCCACAGAACTCCAGGCAGCTCTGGGCGGAAGTGTACGTAAGGACTCAGACACCCAGCTGCTTCACCCGACAGACAGCCTGTGGGAAGCCAGGGCTCCCTGCCTTCCCAGCTGGGTGGAGGAGGCCTTGGGCCAACACGGCATGGCCCCAGGCAGAGCCGGGGTCAGGAGCAGGGAGTTGACAGGAGGGCACCTTAGCTCAGCCCGAGTCGGGCTTGGCATTGCCTGGGGTTGTGTGATAGGGCCGCCATGCCAGGCCAGGGGTGCCCGTGGAGGAATGGGTATCTCCAAAAGAGTGGAGGGTGGAGTTTGGCTGTCACACAGGGCAGGCAGCTCTCACTAAGGGTCATGCCCTCCTGAAAGCAACCACAAACTCATCCCCAGCAAGGCACAGTGCATACCACCTGCTCCACCTGGCTCCCCGGTGGCTCCAGGTATCCCATGGCCGGGACAGCAGGGAGGGGTTGGGTACGCCGGGTTCTCCCCGGCCCCCAGCGAGTCACAGGCAGCACCGCCCTGAGAAGCAGAAGCCTGCATGAGTAATTGGGAGCAAGCTCCAGGCGACTGTGCAGTGGAAGCCGGCATAGTCACATGGCGGTCCCTGCTGATCTCTGCAACCTCGTGGCCTACAGTCGTGGACAGAGCCCCTGCCGTTTTGACATGTTTCCGTGGCTGTGGCCTCCTATGCTGAGCTGTCTTTCTGGAGTTCGCTGGAAGAGACGCCGCAGATCTGTGTTGCAGTGTCACCTCCAGAACCCTCTTCCATGAGGACCAGGGGGAAATCTCTTCTCACCCCGGGGAGTGCTCTGGAAGGCCTTCGTTAAGATGTGATTGCATTACCAATTTCTAAGAGGCACCCTAGCACCTTAACAGTCTCACCTGGGGGCACACTTGACCACCAAGAGCAGCGTGCAGCGAGGCTCCCCAGCCGCCCGCTCAGCCTCATCAAGCAAGCCTCATAGAGCGAGGCCTCGCCATGCTGCTGGCAGCCCGCGTGTTCCTTGGTAGCAGGAACATCATCAGTAGGGAGACTGTGGTGTGAAGCGCTGCCCCTGGATTGAAGCCTCAGTCTCCAGTAGCAGGATGCGCATGTACACACCTGCTGGGCTCGGCCCACACTGGCTCACTGTGACCTTGCAGCTCAGTCTGCCTGTGCCTCGGTCTTCCAGGGCCTCCGTGGGACACCCATGTGTGCACAAGCCTTCAGGCGTTATTGGCATGTGCTGCGGTGGACTCCCTGGATGATGGTTCACACCTGTGCCTTCTCAAGTGTCTCACCTCCCTCGGGACAGAAGCAAGTGGGCTGCCCATGCCTTATGCATCCAGGGTGGCCACTGTCATTGGGCCAGTGGGTCCAGATCAGCTGCCAGAGTCCAGTGGGCTCCTTTGCTCATGCACTGTGCTTCAGGGACACTCTTGCTCCCCTCTGGGCCTTTGCTTGTCCTCTGCAGAGTGCTCTTAGTCCACACCCGGCTTACACAGTGCTCGAGAAATTCAGAAAGACGAGTTTTTTGGGAAGCTCACAATCATGGCACCAGCACTTGCTGGCATATGGTGGGCCTTCCTGCCTCAGCCTTATGTGGCAGATGGTCAGGGTGAAGCAGCAAGCCCACCCCAGGGCGCTGCTCCACTCCTCGCCTCATCCAACCCTAACTGCCTCCCGGCCCCACCTGCAAACACTTCCAGCCGTTGAATCAGGAGGTGGGACTGCAGTGTGCACTCAGAGGGACAGTGAAAGCACAGCCTTGGGCAGTGGCTTGACCAGGAGCGCTGTCCACACGAGGCCCTTGATCCCTGTGCATGCGGGGTCCATGTATGGTTTTCCACTTTTGGAAGCCAACTTAGTTTTGCAGGTGTCCTCCAGCAGACTGCCCAGGGAGCGGTCTACGAGAGCAGTCCTCCCTTCCAGCCCATGGGCTGCCCAGTGCTCGGCAGCAGTCACAGGATGGAGCTCAGGCAGCTTTCCTTCTTCCCTCCTGGAGCTTAGACGGCAGGACAGCAGAGCTGTTGCCGGGCTATGGGTGCTGTCCCTGGGGCACTCTCGACGTGCGCTCCCATGTCTGCCCCTGTGTTGCAGACTGCGTTCCAGCTGTGGTCTGCCCTTGCAGAACTGCCTTTTAATCTTCATCAGAAAGTAATGTCTGTGAGCCAGCCCCTACATGGGAAGGCAGCTGTCTGCTGTCCTGATGGTGCTGACAGCTCCGGTGGGTCTGCTGGGCCAGAGTGCGCTGCCAGCACTCCTTACCCATGGGAGCTGGCCATGCTCCCCCTCTGGTCAGTTTTCTATGTGCCTGTTTCTAATGGCAGGCAGAGGAGACCCCTCTGTACTGTCAGGCTCAGCACCATGGGTCTCTGCTCTGGCTTGGGGGACATTGCTCCTGGCTGTACCACCTGGTCACCTCCAGCCCTGGCTGCCACTACCGGGCCCTGCCCCACAGGGTCTTCCCCAGGTTCTGTCTGCTTCCTTGGGGTGAGCACCCCCTCCTCCTGCTGGGAGCACCCAACCTTGGAGACTTCCTGCCAGGAGCACTCTGTTCTGCCCCATTAGTGGCCAACCATGGGCGGGGACCAGGACAGAAGTCATCCTGCTATGGGATTGTCAGGTCACGATTGTGCCCGTCACGTGGCTATTGCAGAATCTTGATCCTATGTTCCCAGAGCTCTACAGCAGCACAAGACCTTCAGGAGGGTCTGCTCCTTGTCACTGGGCTGTGTGAACCCTGGGGCTCCCACCACCTCCCGAGAGAGAAATATGTCTCAAAACACTCTGTCCGCGACCCTTCACCGCATGCCCTCCTGGTCTCATGAGCTCCGTGTTGGACATCGTCCCCCGTTTTCCTCCTTGCCTCCTTTGTTCTGCCCTTGAAGATCCCAGCTCGCCTCCCTTCTGTCAGTGCCTTCCCGCTGTTCTCACGGCTGTCCTCAGAGCTTCCGACCTGTCCTTGGACACAGGGAACAGCAGCTGGGGCACAGCATGCCCGGCCCTGAGCCCCGCCAGCAGGGTGCTGACAGCTCTCTGCGGATCCACTGGGCCTGCCTTGCTGGGTGCTGGGCGGGCATGGAGCCAGAACAGCAGCGGTGCTCTGGGAGAGCCCGCCTCTCCTCGTGCCTGGTGCCCTCCTGTTCCCTCTGCACATCTGACCACAAGGCCACCTCCCACCTCAGAGAGTTGTTCTGTGCTGTGACTGACTGGGGAAAAGCCGTCTGTAGCCTGGTGTCGGGTGTCTGAGCTGGTGAAGACTGGCAGAGGCAGGCCCTGGGCGTGGGGGGATTGAAGATGGAGGTGAGCGTGGTTTTGGCTGTGTTACTTGTAATCTGCCTGATGGGCTCTGAAGAGAGCGCGCCCCGCCTGCCACTGCCCACCTGGAGTCGTGCTCACCCTCTGCTCACGGAGCCGCTCTCCAGATGTTATTCCCGCTGCGGCTTCACCTCTCAGACAGCCCAGGGGGCTCAGAGTGCAGCTCCCACGTGCCCCACCTGACCATGGCGGCGCTGGAGTGATTGCGGGCCATCAAGTACGGCTCTCACTGCCAGGTGGAGACCCTGTGTCCGGACTTCAGCCACCTTGCAGAAGTGGGCTCCTGGGACGTGGCTCAGTCCTGAAGCAGCTCCTTCCACCTGGGGAACTCCCCGGGCTGCTGAGGCTGGAGACGAGGCTTTCCAGGGGCACCCAGTGCTTGCAGGGCCCGTGCATGTTGCCGCCACCTGGCACCAGAAACCCCGCAGCCCAGCGAGGCAACACCTCCAGGTGCACAAGTGCACCCTGGTTTGAAACCTGGGTGCAGCGAGGGTCTCCGTGCCCTGAAGGGAGGCTCGTCTGCCCGCTGCACAGCCCCCCAGCCTGCAGATGGCTCTGCTGCTCCAGTAGATTCCACAGGGGCAGGGTCTGGTGCCACCATGTCCCCCACCAGTGCCAGAGTGGTGGCCTCCAGCCTGTCAGTTGCCTCTGGCCATCCCACAGGCAGAGCGGGCTCCAGAGGGTCATGGTTCACTGCCCTCATTTTGGTGTCTTGAGGTGCTTGAGGCCAGTCTTCACTTTCGCAGGCTGTGGGTCCTGCGTGGCATGGAGCAGGCCCTGGCTGGGAGGGGCGGGTACAGACATGGTGCGTCCTGCCCTGAGTCTCCCTTGCATGACAAGGAAGTGCCCTGCAGGAGCAGAGCAGAATCCAGGAGGCCTTCCAGGTGCAGAGCAGGGCAGTGGAGAGGTGAGGATGCGGGGTGAGTGCCGGCCGCCACGTGCTGCGGAGAGGGGCATCAGGCAGGGCTGCAGGACGGGGCCTGCTGTGGGAGACACAGGGAGGGCAGCAGGCGGGTCAGAGGGCAGAGGGGCCAGCCCCGTAGACTCTGGGAGTCAAACCTTAGCAGGGGACATAAGTGGATGGGGGAAGAGACTGGATCTGCCACCTGGTAACCTAGTCAGAGCTGTGACCTTGAGATGACCTCCAATCCATCCCGCAGGGGCTGGAGGAGATCCCTGTGATGATCTGCAATAGCACAGCTAGTCTGTGGCCAGCTCAGAATGTCCTTGTCACACTGTCTCATGATGCCACACTGACTACTCCAGGGTTATCTGGGCAGCTCTGGAGAGAAGACCCTCCCACACAGGGCCATGGACAGCCAGGCTCCGCCCTGTGGGTGGATGCAGCATCTCAAAGGCTACTTCTGTGGTCTGTAGCTTCTATCTCTAGACCCAGCAAGGGGTTGCAGGAACCCTGGTGGGCCTCAGCTGAGAGTTTGGTGGTGGGAAAAAAAGTGTTCTTTTTTTAAGTAACCAGGCAGATTTTGGCTTCTTTTGTTTTGGCTTTTAAGTAATGTAAGAAAAATGAATAGAGAAATGGAACACGTGGGTCTGTGCTGTTAACAGAGGTGGGGTCCGCTGTGTCCACGCTGTTTGTCCTTCAGCCTTAATCAGCTGCCGTCCAGGTGGACTGCCCCTTGCTGTTTACAGATGCCGTGAAACAGACAGCCCCGCACCCTGAGTCAGTGCCCCCAGAGCAGCCAGGGGACCCTGGCAAGTCTGGCACCTTGGTGAACACAGCCTCCATTTCTCCAGAACCTGGTTTCTCAGGCCTCTTCCCATGGAGGAGGCTGGTGGTTGCCTACACAACCCAGGCCCATGGTGGAGTCAGCTGCCTGGGTCCAGCACAAGCAGGGAACTTCCCTTTCCAGAAAGTCCAAGAGCAGCAGGGGACTGAGTGCGGAAAGCTGGCGTCTCACTACTTACAGATCCACAAGTGCCAGAAGGGGAGAGGAGCCTGGACACGGCTTCAGAGCCCGGGCGAGGCCAAGCCGGAGGCTGCAGTCAGAGGAGTCCAGAGATGGCGCTAGAGCTGGGGGGGCCCAGGGTGGTGGCTGCAGTCAGTCCTGGACCTCTCTGCCTGAGCTCCCACGGGGCCACCTAGGGACTGTGACTTGATGGGTCTGGCTCCCACACAGAGGCGTTGGGGACCACTGTGGGCTTCCACATGCAGGTGGCCTCTGTCCACACAGGAGGGCTCTGACAGGCACCACGACAGGTCCCACGCTGGCTGTGCCAGTGGCAAGGTGAGCGCTGAGGGCGTCTGGCGCTGGCACTCAGACCCCAGAATTGGCTTGGGTGTCCTCACATCACGTGGGGTCGGGGCAGCCCTTCTTGCTTCAGAGCCTCGCTTGCCTTCACAGAGGCCACTGGTGTCTGAACTGGGCTGTGGGCATCTGCAGACGAAAAGGAAGCGCAAGATGTGGACGTCATGGCCACGGCCCCAAGAGGGCCCCCATTGTGTCCACTTCCCTCAGACTTCCAAGCAGTTGGATGTCTGCTTGGAAGGATCTAGGAGGAGGTTATATAAGAATTGTCACCACTAAATGACTGTCACCCACACTGGACCCTGCCTAGTAAATCAGACAGCAGCCCCGGTTCCCGTCTCCTGCTGAGGTGTAGGCTCTTCCTTTCACACGACACCCCATGCCAGCCCAGCACTGCCGTGTTGAGTGGTCATTTCCCCAGTGTACTTTTTTTTTCTTTTTTTTTTTTTTTTGATACCAGGAATTGAACTCAGGGGCACTTAATCCCTGAGCCCCCATCTCCAGCCTTTATATATTTCATTTAGAGATTGAGTCTCACTAAGTTGCTTAGAGCCTCCCTAAGTTGCTGAGGCTGGCTTTGAACTTGTGATCCTTCTGCCTAAGCCTCCTGAGCCACTGGGATTACAGGCGTGTGCCACCCTGCCTGGCCAAGTGTGCACATTTTTAAGCCACCATTGTGAAGCCCTTGACCCTCGCTGTGTCTGCCTCGCTGTGATGATATCTCCTTCTTTGCAGCTTCTGAACCTAACCTGAAATTGAGGTCCAGGCTTAAGCAGAAAGTGGCTGAGAGACGGAGCAGCCCTCTCCTGCGCAGGAAAGATGGGCCTGTGGTCACTGCTCTAAAAAAGCGTCCCTTGGATGTCACAGGTATGTCAGGCAAGCAGAGAAACTGCTCCTGCTGCCGCACTGTGCAGCTTTCCTGTGGAAACTCTGTGGCTGGGCCTGGCGCCGTCAGCCCAGAGTGTCAGGCAGGCCACTGAGGGTCAGTACCAGGAATGCCTCAACAGGTGCCCGCTCCCTGGGTCAGGTATTAGGCCCAGGCATGGAAACGTGATGCGCCTTGTGTCCTGGGACATGTATTTGAGGTTCCTCTGAAGGTGTTCATGGTCAGCTGCCTGCTCCTGCCCGCTCCCCCTGCTCACAGAGCAGTGTCCATGAGCTTAGCAGGAGAACACCCAGGGGCTCCGCTGTTCCACTGTGGTACCTTGGTGCCTCTGGCCCCGTGAGTGGTCCACACCAGCAGAATGCCAACAGGCAGGGTCAGCACCCCCTCCCAGCCCCTTTCTGAGGGCAGCAACCTCACGAGCATCCCTGCCCAGACACCCCACTGTGAGGACCAGGGCCCACTGGGCCACTTCCTGCCTGTTGAGGACACACCTGCCCAGAAGCATGACTCCTCGGTCCCCCTCCACAGGTGTCCCCAGCATCTCCAGAGTTCCAAGTCCCCCAGGTGCATCCACTCAGCACCCTGTGCCCTGGGTGGACCCCAGGTCCTCACTCAGGGAGCACAGCCCCCAGCTGCACCCCAGCACCCCAGGTCCGATTCTCCAGGTGCACCTCCACTTTTCAAAGTCCTGGCACCAGGAAACAAGGGCTGCTCCCAGATGACCTGGAGAGGAGGCCAGGAGCACTGGAGGGCCGGGATGAGTGGGGCTGGTCCTGAGTGCCCTGGGCCGGTTTAGTCCAGTGTGTCCAGTGTGTCCTGGGGAACGTGCTGCTGCTGGGGAAGAGGCGGGAGAGGTTCCCAACTGGCCCCCTCCTGGTGAATGGCCAGGTCTCTGCACAACCCTCCCCTGAGGCATGAGAGGAGAGCTTCCCTTCTGGACGTGGCCTGGCCATCCCTGCCCTACGTGCTCCAGGGCTCTCCAGCTGCCCTGGCCTTGGCCTTTGTGGACTCATTCGAGCTGAAGCCTTCATGCTGTTGGGAGTGCCCGTTTCGTCCTTGTCTTCCTTTGTGAGTGGCTCTTTCCTCTGGTGGTTCTGTGTAGAGAGTTTCTGGCTAGAGAGATCAAGGGATGTTGGAGCCCAGCGTCTCATCAGTCTGATAAACTAGGAGGACTCAGCTGAAAACTGCTCCAACACTCAGGCACGTTGTCCCCGTGCGCAGGCTTGTTCAGGCTCTGGTACACGAGACCCCACAACGTCCCAGCCAAAGGTTGCTAAGATAGCGCCTTCAGCCAGCTGCTTCTGAGTGTCACACCTGTTGTCACCCAGTGACTGCTTAATGGTATGTAAATGTCAGAGCTGGGCACAGAAGCAGTGAGACAAGCTCCTTGCCTTCCTGGAGCTTATAGCCTCCTGGGGACCCCGGCTGACACATGGGTGGCCTGGTTAGTGCTGAGCTGTGCTGGATGAAGGGTGTGCCCCAGCAGCCCCAGGGCAGGGTGGGCAAGTAGCATAGTGAGACCAGAAGCTGTGGAGAAGGCGGCCTCTGAACTGTGGTCTGATGGACAGAGGAGACAGTGCTGGAGAGGAGCTAGGACAGTCAGGGCTGCAGGAGGTGGTCCCACACACAGCGGGGAGGTGGTGGAGTCCTGGGGCAGGAGAGAGCCACGCAGAAGTCACGGACAGGCAGCCTCGCACTCTGCCACTTGTTAGACTCAGGCTGGATGAAGAGCACGAGGGGGGTCCTGCCCAGGCGGCCCTCCAACCCCCAGGGTGCGCCCCGCCCTGTGAGGTGCCTGACAGCAACCTCGAGGACCTTCTGGCCCTGCTGCCAGGCCTCTCCTCTCACCAGTGTAGACAGTCCACCGTGGTCCTGCAGGGCGCGTGCTTCCTCAGGTCAGAGTCCTGAGTGGGTCGGTTAAGGGGGTGGCAGTCGGGTGACTGTGTTTCATGGCTGCACGCTGCCCTGCCCGTGTGCACACAGTGGAGCGGCCACCTGTTCCTGCCAGGCAGCGTCAGAGGGTTTCCTGCAGACACTGTCAGGAAGAGGGCCCAGGCAAGGCCACTCCTAGGATGGCAATGTGGAGTCAGGGGTAGGAGAAGGCCGAGTGATGGCGGACACCTGCTCAGCCTAGGTGACGCCACCAGAGGGCCAAGCCACGCTCTGGAGTTGGCAATTGGTAGATGGAGTGAGTGAGAGGCACGAGAGAGGAGAGGGGCAGGTGGGGCCTATGACAGGAGCTGGCCAAGGTCGGGTAGATGGCAGGAGCAGGGGGTAGGGCCTGGGCGCTGGCTCAGGAATGTGGCCACCCAGCTATTCCTGGGTGGGTAGCTTGGTCCACAGAGGACGTGAGCCTTCAGCCTGCCCACATCAACTTGAGGAGAGTTCGCCTTTGGTGTCCTCCGCAAGCAGGGTGGCCTAGGGAAGGTGACATTACTGGCTCAGCTTTCTCTGTGCAGAGGGGATAATGATGGCGCCCACCTCATAGCTCAGCACAGCGCAGCTGCTGGAGCTGAACCTGGCTGCTGTGGAGCACAAGGGACAGTGGCTTCCATGCCCACCATCTATCCCCGTCCTCTTCCTTGTCACCCAGGGATACCCTTGAAGCCAGTTTTCAGTCTGCTCTGTGGACAGCAGCGTCCTGTGGGCTGGGGTGCTCTCCAGTTGGATGAGTAGGTACTGTGTGCTCAGGGTCAGGACACAGAGGAGGAATTCCCCAGCCCCCCTCAGGGTCCCTGCTGTGTCCAGAGTGGGGGCCAGGGGCCCGTGTGAGAAGACATGGACCTGCCTTGGCTCCTCTCACAAGTCGTGGTCAGCTGGAGCCTGCCCAGCCCCTGGCTCTTTTGCTGGGCACTTGCTGATCCTGGGAAAACCAGGGGGTGACATTCCCAGCAGTCATGGAGAGCTTCTTAATTAACTAGCTTTTTAGTGAGCACAGTGAACTTGACCTTCCGCCGTGGGGAGTTGCTTGGCTTCTGCGTTCTTAGTCTGTTGTTGCTAGGATGTTGATAAATGTTTAGGAGCTTACCTCTCAGGTGCTTGAAACCGTCCTGAAATGCACGGGAGCCATGGAGTTGGTAGCAAGCACTCCCCAGAGGGCTCTGCAGAGGCTGCACGGAGTCCTGAGTTCTACAGACTCACCGGGAGGTAGCAGCAAGGCCGAGGAATCGGGATAGCCTCCTGTTGCCCACTCTGGAGTCGTGGCCATGTTCTTTCTGCTTGGGATTTGTGCGGGCCAGCAGGCTAGCAAGCGGAAAACGACAGAGGCGGCTGCTACCCCGGGCCTGGCCCCAGCCACTGTCTCTCACTTGCAGACTCTGCGTGCAGCAGTGCCCCGGGGTCTGGGCCCAGCTCACCCAACAGCAGTTCCGGCAACGTCAGCACTGAGAATGGCATCGTGCCTGCTGTGCCCAGCGTCCCAGCCGAGGTCAGTGTACTCCCAGTCAGTGGCATGCCTGCTCTGTGCCATCCAACCCTTACACTCACCCTGAACTGGCCAGCATGGGGCAAGGGGAACTGGCATGGGGGTGGCCCTGGGGAGAGCTTTCTGGGCATTACCTCCCCACCTTCATCGCAGCCCCCCTGAAATATGAGCACCCTAGTTCTCCACACACCCGGGGCCCTCCAGCCCCATCTTTCCCCGGCCTCTCCCCAAGCATGTTCAACAGAGGGTGTCATGATGCAGGTGACATGCACGGGGTCCTGGCAGGCAGCAGGCCTGTGGGAGGAGTTGCTGGGTGAGAACGACAGGGTCACGTTGGGGAGACACAAGGAGCACGGAGCAGCAGGAGTCGGGGAGCGGGCGGCTCCCCCACGGTTGGCACCGCAGGGGCAGACAGGGAACCAAGGGCTCCAGGCATGAGACCCAGCACCCCTTCTTTGACCCTGCTTTTAATGCACTCTGAGGGGTGCAGTGATCCGGGAGGGTGTGAGCAATGAGCATGGGCCAGGAGTGCTCTGACGCCACTCGGGGGGTGACTCCAGGCGCTGGAGCTTCAGCAGACGAGGGTGCACCCACCCAGTGCTGTGGGTCGCCCCTGCCTGGCTGCAACAGGCCCCGGCACCCTCATCCCCTGTGCTCACTGTCCAGCGTCCCCATCCCGAGGGCCAGCACAGGGAGGGTAGCTCCACAGCTGGTGGGGAGAGTTGGGCCAGCCAGGATACAAGGGTCTGGAGGGTTCAGGGTGCTGGGCCTGGGAGAGGCACGGGGGCTGCTTCAGCAGCGAGCTTTCTGATGGATTGGCCAGGAAGGCTGCCTGCCGCAGGGCCGCGTGCAGCAGAGCGTACGAGCCTCCCGCGTGTTCTGAGCGTCAACCTACAGAGGCTGCAATCTATTAAGTGTAGTTGTTTGCTTCTTAAATATTTAGAAAGGATTGCTGCCCTTCCAAAGGTTGGCAGATCCAAGCTGGGACACGCGGGCTTAGCATTTTCGTTTAAAGTCCCAACCCTCTGTGTATAAAAGGTGTTGTAGAGACGAGGGCCACGGCTGGGAGGGATTCCCCAGGGTCGCTGTCTCTGGGCTCCTCAGTTCCTGTTCCTCTTATTTTTACGTTATACTTCAATTTCTCTTCTTATCTGTGCTCTTCAACCGACCAGTTTAGGTATGTACTTACTTATTAGATGTTTTAACAGCCCTCTGCGAGCAGGCCACAGCTGGGCTCTGCCTACAGTGAACTCAGAATGCAGCTGGAAGTCGCTCCCTCCCTGGGGAGTCCCCAGGGTCGCTGTCACCTCTCCCTGGGGTGTCCCCCAGGGTCTCTGTCACCCCTCCCTGGGGAGTCCCCAGGGCGCTCTCACCCCTCCCTGGGAGGTCCCAGGGTTGCTCATGGGCACAGAGGCTCATTTGATGTGTGCATTTGGAAACATCGTAGCAGTGCCTTTTTGTGGGGACCTGTATGGTTCTGGTTTAAGTTATATATTGATTGTTATAAACTGTGGGATATATGACTTAAGCTACTGTAAACTCAGAGACATATAAAAGGGGTCACAAGAACTATACAAGTCTGACCGTCCAGGTTTCACCTCAGATGCTCATCACCACAGGTGGGGGTGGCCTGTGATGCTGGACCACACATGGACATCCCTTTAGGATCTCAGATGCCATTAGGATTGGTGATTTTCAGAGCTTCCTGCTAACTGGCCAAGGGCTGGCTCGTCCTCCCATGTGGTCCAGAGGCAGCAGGACTGCCCTAGTGGGGCAGCTGGTGCAAATGGAGGTGGCATGGTGGTCCTGGCTCTCTCTGCTTCCTCTGGCCATTGCCCTGAGGCCACTATGGAAGACCACCATGTCCTGCAGGCCCTCTAGGGGAAGCAGAGCTCTGGAGCCAGAATTGAGGTGCAGGTGCTCCAGCCACAGGCCCTTGGGCTTCTGAGGAAGCCAGTGCCTCTGCTAGAAAGCAGACCAGCCCGTCCTGGAGCGACAGAGCTCGGGGCCTGCTCCCAGGTGCCCCCTGGAGACAGCAGGAGCATCCACTTCTTCTCAAAAGGGCAAATTCACAGAAGCAGCTTTATTTCTCAGAGTGACTAGGTTAAAAAAAAAAAATGTTGATTATAAAGGAATCACAACTTCCAAACGAGCAGTTCTCCTTAGGGAGAGCCCTGCTGTCCTGGGCAAGCCCGGGCGTCTTCTCAGAAGCATGACTTGCAGATATATCTTTCACTTTTGAACCCCCCTCACCAAAAAAAAAAAATGTCTAGGAAAAGCCTATCCCAGAAGCCACATGGTCACCCCTTGTGCATAGGCATCTGTGCAATATGTGGCCATTCCCAAGGGCGGTCAGAGCAGTTCCTCTGAGAGCAGAGGCTCTGTCAGTGTCCTTCCAGGGACACAGCTGCAAGTTCCTGGTGAGCATTTGCAGGGTGAGGCAGGGGTTGGTCTCCAACAGGATACCTTGGCTGAGCGTGCAGATTGCGGGCATGAGCAGCAGATGGCCATTGCCCTGGGGGCACTGTGGAAAGACCATCGCATCCTGCAGGTGCCTTCCTGCTACCCGCCCCATGTTCTCTAGCAGGGCTGCAGACAGATCACCTCCCTTACCTCAACTTATCCCGATGTTCATTTCATAAATTGTTTTCTTGTAAATGAAATTTTAAAGTACTCAAGCTGCCCCTCTGCCTTTGTGATATGATGGAATTGTCGAGTCACATGCCATGCAGATTCCTGCCTGCCCACCATGCTAGCTGAACCATAGTTGGCTCTTGCTTTCCTTTAGAGTGCACTTGGATGGGTCTTCTATGCATGGTGCAGACCAAGTAAAGCCTGGGCCCCTGCCAAGCCCATCCATTCTGCAAGCAGGCTAAGTGCCGGCATCTGGAGGAACAGGCAGGGAGGGCCAGGCGTAAAGCAAAGGTTGTGTCCAGGGTGAGATGCTGCACTTGGGTGGAGTAGCATCTGTCCTCTGCTACTTCCTCAGGCTTACGCTTGAGTAGTCTGAGCTCAGTTTTAGAAAGTACATGATTCTATGACGTGTTTTTTCTACTTAAAACTTGATCACAAAAGAGCATCCAGATAATGCTCATCGGGGCATTTCTGGACCTCTTGCAAGTCGAGTGTGTGGCGCACCTTCGTTCATTTAATGCCGTGTGGCTGGAGCAGGTGCTCATCGCAGCTGTGAGGCTGCTGCCATGAGCAGCCCAGTGGCCAGGTCCTGTGTGCACATGGGCCTTTTCCTTAGGAATCCTTCTTAACACCGCATCCTAAGAGCAGAGTTTCAGGATCAAGGTCAGCTCCACTTTTAAGGCTTTTGATAGATGGCCAAATTGTTCTGCAGAAAGCACCACAGTTTGCCGTCTTCCAGTAATGTGTTTCCCTTTCTCTGTTCCAAGATGGTATTAGCATTTTAAAAAGTCATTGCCGGTGTGCCAGGCACAGTGGAACATGCTGTGATCCCAGCAGCTCAGGAGGCTGAGGCAGGAGGATTATGAGTTCAAGGCCAGCTTCAGCAACTTAGCAAGACGCTGTCTCTAAATAAAACCTAAAACAGGCTGGGGAGGTGGCTCAGGTGTTAAGTGCCTCTGGGTTCAATCCCCAGTGCCCAAAATCAGGTTGTCGCCACGCACTCAGTCCTTAAGCGTGTTCTCAGACGGCTGATGACGTTGCGTGTTTTCTTCATGAGTTTATTCCCCCTTAGTACGATATCTTCTGTGGTCCCTGGTTTCGGCTGTGGACTTTCCTCACTTTGGGTTGTTCCTTGGTTTGTGAGCACTTTGCATATGAACCTCTGTCTGCCCTGTACCATGCTGATAGCCACAGTTTTCTGCCTTCTAGGAAGGAGAGCAGGGTTGTGTTTTTTTTTCAATGATTTCTGCATTCATTATCATGTTTGGAAAGATATTCCCAGCCACAAAAATGTGTTTTTACTGTATTGTCCTAGTTGTCTTCTGCTTGTTTTATGGTGTACAAGCAAATTGAATGAGGAGCAAGGTGCAGTGACGAGAAGACCGAGGACTGCTGCTAGGGAATGGCCCAGGCGCCCACCTTTCTCCAGGTGCGCACCACTTCAGAGGCTCTAGGGTGACGGTCACTGTGTTCTGTCTGCAGACCAGCTTGGCGCACAGACTTGTGGCTCGAGAAGGCTCGGTCGCCCCACTCCCCCTCTATACGTCACCGTCTTTGCCCAACATCACCTTGGGACTTCCTGCCACCGGCCCTGCTGCTGTAAGTCAGCCTCCGGGGGTCTGTGGCTCGGGGCGCGGTCGTGGCCCTGCGCCCAGACATCCCTGGCTGTGCTTTCCAGGGTGCAGCGGGCCAGCAGGAGGCTGAGCGACTGGCTCTTCCTGCCCTCCAGCAGCGGATCCCCCTCTTCCCCGGCACCCACCTCACCCCCTACCTGAGCGCCTCTCCTCTGGAGCGGGATGGTGGGGCGGCTCACAACCCTCTTCTGCAGCACATGGTCCTGCTGGAGCAGCCGCCTGCACAGACGTCCCTCGTCACAGGTGAGCATGTGGGCCTCGTGCTGTAGCCAGGGCTTTGGCAGTGTGGGGCTTTCCTGCTGGGCCTTGTGTGGCTTCTGGAGCAGGCGGGACAGCACAGGGCATCTGTCTCCAGGCCTGCCAGTGCTGTGTGTGCACCTGGCCTGTGACTGGGCCACCTTCAACCGCAAGCAGCTCGGTTGCTGCTTCCAGGCAGGTGCCAGGCACCCCTCTACTCACTCCCAGGAGGAGCCCTCTGGCCAGGGTTTCTGTGTGGGTCGAGGTGAGCACATATTGGAAGCACAGAATTGACTTGGGCAAATAATTGGTTTCTGTTTGGCAACAAAACACTGTAGAAATGTGTGCTGAGGATGGTTATGTTTAGAAAAACACGATTTAGAGGACAACGAGAAGGCTGCTGTGATGACCTAGTGACAGCAGCAGGAGAGCTGTTCAGAAGTGCTGGGATTTGTGGTGCTGTCCAGCATACACCCATGGGTTGGATCCGCATGCCTGTCCATGACGTCCTTAGCTCAAGTGGCTGTTCTCCTGGACATCTATGGGCTTGTTCAAAATTTGCCTTTGGACTGACCTCAGTGCTGGCCTGGCCAGCCATGCACCCACAGTGGGCAGAGCCCTGTGCCTGTCGTGGTGGGGTGCTGGCCAGAGGCCTGTGGGGCTAGCTCTGGGGTCTGTTGGCTTCCTTGCATCCTGCTGCTGCTGCTCCCTAAAGCTTTGGCTGTGGTCACCATGGGTCTGGGCAGGAGTGGTGCACTGGCTCTGAGTGTCTATGTGGACAGAGGAGATGCTACTCCAGCCCTGAGTGCAGATCTCACCCTAGACCCAGGCTTTGCTTCATGCCCAGCCCTCCCTGCCTGTTTCTCCACTTAGCCTCCTCTGACATGGGAGGTCGCTTGTAGTCTGTGTGCCTCTTTGCCATCAGTGAGGTAGGGTGCTCAGATATGAACTACCTGAGTCCCTGCAGGGTAGCACCAGCACCTGCCATTCCCATTGGTGTGGGTCTCCTGGTTGGGATAGTAGTCTTCACCTTCCGCCTCCCACACCCTGCCCCAGGGCCCTGCCCACCCTTCCCAGCATCTCCCGGGCCCTTCCCCTCACTCCCTGCCATGTGGCCCTGATTCCAGGTCTCTTGGCATCTTCCTGAGGGAGGATGCCTCCTGAGCAGGGTTCCAGCAAGCTGTCCTCTTCTAGGACAGCAACACTGGGTACAGGAGCCACCGGCCACAGGAGGTTTCAATTCAGAGTGCAGTGTGGTTTCTCAGGCACTGTGCAGCATCTCGGATGCACAGGTGGCCCCAGCCCCCTGTGGACCGCGGCCTTGTTGCGAGCTTGCTTTCCACAGCTCGGTCAGGGCAGAGGCCCAGCTCCTCAGCATTGGCTCCAGCCTTGCAACGGGGCCTCCCTCCTCCCCAGGCAGCACCCTGGATGGGCAGTGCAGGAGGCGTATGGATACAAGTGCCATCTTCCAAAGACCTTTCCTTGCATTGGGCTGGCTGTGCCTGGCCCTGCAGCTGCCCATCCCTCTGTCCCCATGCTGTGCCCACAGCCCTGCGCTCACTTGTGCCTCCCTGCAGCTGCTGAGTGCACCTGGTCTCTGCTCTCCATGCCGTGCTCCGGGAGAAGACTTGCTTCCTTCTGCCTGCTTCCTCTCCTCCCTTCCCACAGCCACTGGGTTTGGTTCACAGTGAATGTGCACCAAACAAGGTGCAGTGCAGCCCAGCAGAGCTCAGGGCCTTGGAGGTGGCCTGGTGTCTCGTGGCAAGTTTTGCTCTCAGTTTGTCTCTGAGTTCCTGCAGATTGGCCACAGACCTTCCCTCTTGCTGGTCATGGGATGTGTAAGGGTGTGCATACCAGAGCTAGAACACCCTGCTTCCATGGGTGCTCTGGACACAGAGGTCCCTGTGGGAGAAGTGACAGACCAGTCCCCAGGGGCAGTGTGTTCCCCGACCTCTTGAAGCTGCCTCTTCTGTGCAGAACCGCTGATTCAGTGCCTTGACCTGATCCTCAGGAGCCTCCAGATGATAGTCTCTTTCTCCAAGCCCGAGCCCACGTGAGCTCTGCCTGTAGCTGGACTAGCCCCTCAGCAGGACAGCTGGTGGCCCCGTGGGAGAGGGTGCCTGGGCTGCCAGGTGTGCGTCACGGTCGTCTCCATCAGTCACTCAACAGCCTTCTCTCCTCCCCTCTCTTCCTCCTCTCTCTCCCTCTGCTGTTTCTTCCTCCATATTATCTTCAGACTGGTATCTTTCAGGCCTGGGAACGCTGCCCCTCCACTCACAGCCCCTGGTTGGTACGGACCGGGTGTCCCCATCCATCCACAAGCTGCGGCAGCACCGCCCTTTGGGGCGCACACAGTCGGCACCACTGCCGCAGAACGCACAGGCGCTGCAGCACCTGGTGATCCAGCAGCAGCACCAGCAGTTCCTGGAGAAGCACAAGCAGCACTTCCAGCAGCAGCAGCTGCACATGAGCAAGGTGGGTCCAGGCCGGGCACGTGGGCTGGAGACTGGGGAGGACAGCCGGGAGCAGCTCACGCAGCTACGGGGACAGGCCCAGGGCTTTCCCGGCCCAGGAGCCTGGTACAACGCGGGGGGTGGGCCACGTGGTCAGCTCTTCTTTCCTGGGTTTCCTAAGACCATTCACCGAGTAGGGATTCACTCCAGCCAGTGCTGAAGACGCCAGCTTTACAGTGGTGCTGTCCCAGAAGCATCCTTCCCAAGCCCCTTCACACTGTCAGAGGTGTTTGGGGCCAGGAGAGCCCGCAGAGGTCCTTGTACCAATAGAAGTCTCCGGAGTCACCAAAGCCACCTCCAGGAGGAAGTGGCAGGATTGTGTGCTGCAATGCTGGGTGAGGGGAACCCAGGTGCTTAGTGAGGTCTCGTCAGACGCTGGCCTTAGAAGCAAGTACCCTAGCACTAGGGGAAGTGAGCTGCTGGGGACGCCCTGTGACGCCTCTGAAGGCTGCACTCCAAGTTACCCAGGACCCGCCACTCTCCTCCGGGAGGGAAGGAGACAGCCACACACACGCTGGTCCTCAGTACCAAGCAGCCGGCACCCACGTCCCACCAGTGGAGCGCTGTGACGTGGGGAGCTGTAACACAGGTGGGACAAACCAGTCCCAACAGCACATGTTGGATACTTTCCTGGTGTGAACTGCCCAGAACAGGCCAGAGACGGCAAGGGGGGTGTTGTGGGAAGCTGGGGAGTGACTGCCAGTGGGGACAGCGTTTCTTATTAGGGATGATAGAAGTGTTCTCAGATGATGAAAGGTGACTACACAACTATGTAAGTTTGGTAACTACCGATTCATGCAATTTAAAGGTTTGAATTTTATGATCTATAAATTATAGTAGACCCCTCTTATTTGCAATGGTGGATAGTGCTGAACTCTTTATAAAAGCACTATGACACCAGAGTAATTGAACTGATAACTGAGATTGTTACTGAGTGCTAACCAGGAGGGTAGCATATTCTGTGTGGATACACTGGACAAGGGACTGGTTCACATCCTGGATGAGATAGAGCAGGTTGGTGTGAGATTCTATCATGCTACTCAGATAAGGAGGCAGGTTTTAAAAACTTAGGAGTTTTTTAATTCTGGAATTTTTTATTCAATATTTTTGGACCTTGCTTGGCCATGGGAAACCAGATGAAGGAGAACTACCATATGTCTCAATAAAGTTGTTACAAGAAAGAAATAAGAGGATGAGATAATAGAAGGGAACCTGTGGTTTTCTGAAGGAAGTGCTGAGGCTGTGGCAGATTCGAGGTTTCTTCACTCTTGTCTTCCCGCAGCACCTGGCCATGGCTCTTGTTGGCAGGTCCAGGCCTTCTGTTTCCCTGAGGAATGAGGATGAGGAAGGACGGTGGGAGGAGAGTCTTCTGGGAGGCCAGGATCCTGACCCCACCACGTGCAGAGGCAGGGCCAGGAGGGGAGCGCTGAGCGGGCAGCACCATCACCACACTCCAGCCTGGCCCAGGCTCTTCTCAAGGGTCCCTTTGCTCTGAGACAGTGGTGGCTTTCGCCAGGTCTCTCCTGCTGCGTCCTCTGTTGCAGGCTGAAAGGCACATGATCGAGGAGGTGGCCCCTGGGTGCCTTGCTCTCAGGTGGCAACGTCCCCAAGCTAGATGCCCCACATGGGCCAAGACCAGGCGTCTCCTGCCCAGTGGGCACAGGATGTTCGCTCGCCACCCACCCCAGGGCCCCTCAGCCCCAGAGGCCTTTTGCCGGACAGCACTGACTGGCAGAAGGGGGGACTGCTGCGTCCCCGTCCCTCGCTCACAACTGCACTCTGGGCGACGGGCATGGCGGGCATGGCGGGCATGGGCCACATGTTGCGCTTGGGGTCAGAAAGCCTCCCGCGTCTTCCCAGAGCCAGCTTCAGCTGCCTAGTCTCCTTTGGCTCCATGTGAGTGACAGGGCGGGAGGCCTCCGGAAGGCGGGGACACCAGTTCACATGCGGTGAATTCTTGAAAAGAGCAGTTCAGGAGTGGGGTGATCTCACTGGGTTTTGTTACATGATGGATTTACAGTAGCAATGGCAGGTGATTGACACGTTTGTACAGTGTTTCCTGCGGCGCCCGGGAAACGAGGATCTTGTCTAGCAACTCTCACCAGCGCTCTGCCCTGGGTCTCTGCGGATGTCATTCTGGGAGCTTGTGCCCCCGAGGGACTGCAGCTCGGCTCTGGCAAGGCGAGCCGTGCTTGGCACAGTCGGGGAGGCAGCGTGGTGTTGCTGGCCGCTGCAGGTACCTCCAGGATGTCACCAAGAGCAGGAGAGGCCACCCAGCCCTCCCGTTGTGTCCCCAGCAGCCTGATGGGCTACTCTGGCTTCCTGGGCTCCCCAGGGGAATGGCCCTGGAGCTGGCTCTCCTCAGGTCCCCTGGGCCAGGACTGGGGTGTCGCCCATGCCCTAAGTACGTGGGGTGGGTCCTGCAGCCTCACCCTTGGCCTGCTGCCAGGTCTGTTGGCTGTCCACGGGAGTCGTGCCTTTCCTTTCCCTGGAGGATGTCCACGCGGCCTGGGCCTGGTCAGGGCCATTCTTGGAGCTTAGGCCCACCCGACTCCCAGGCAGCTAAAGTGGGACTGTGCTCGGAGGTGGTGGGTTCCCACCCACACAGGCTTCACAGCTTCCAACGTGAGAGCATGGACACGTCTTAATTGTCCACTTATCAGTGTGTCCAGCTGTTTAGATATTGGCGTATTCGCCTGTGTGGCTTTGGCCCTGGACTCCAGTCTGGCTTCTTAAAAATTTATTGTTCCAAATATGGAGGTGTCTTGTTCTTGCTCAGTTGGTAAAGGTCCTCAGTGTCCCAGAGGCCTCTAGACATCAGGCTGCTGTGTGGTGCGATTGCCGCTGCCACGACTGGCTCCTCCTAGCCCGTGGCCAGCTTCTCCTCCTGAAGGCAGTCTGTGGCGAGGCCCAGCCACAGCTCGCCTAGGAGAAGGGAGCTGAATTTCAGAGGAGCAGCAGAGAGTCCAGCTGTGGCCTGCCTCGCCAGCCCTGCGTCAGCGCCCAGCGAGGCTGGCTCTGCATCATGGATGGGGCTCTGACGCAGGCAGCTGAGCCTGCAGGGCTGCGGCCCCCCAGGAGCCTCTCTGCCCCGAGGATGTGAGCCATGCACCAGGGAGCAGGCAGAGAGGCCCCGGGAAGCCTTTGCCGCACCGGGCTCCTCTCCTGGAGGCCTGTGCCCTGTGTGCAGACCTGGGAAGGGCACCAGGAGGGAGTGTTCATGCCCCAGAGCTGCACCCTCGGCCTGCTATGGCTGGGCTTGGCCATCTCCCGCTGCTCCTTCTCCTCTGCCTAGGGCTATCCACCTGCCCCCTCCCCAGGAGGGCTGGAAACCCCACTTAAACGTCTTCAGGGAGCCCAAAAGGGCAGCGTTCCCTTGCCCACATCTTCAGCCATGCTCCTAGGCTCCTGTCTCCACGCCCGTCCTAGTGAGGGAGGGCAGGAAGCCCAAGCTGGAGTCTGAGCTCCTCAGCACCCAGCCCTTGGCCCTCCCCACAGAAGAGGCCTCAGCCACAGTCAGCACTGTGAGTTGCAAGGAGACAACCAGAAGCCTGCTGACCAGGCCTCTGAGGAGGACTCGAGGCCACTGTCACCCATGGTGCTGCACCTGCAGGCACTCGCCCAAGTCCCTGTCCAGGTCAGTGTGTTTCTCAACGAGAATGCTCCGAAGACAGGGCCCTGGACTGTTAACCACTCAGGACACGAAGAGCACGAGGGACCCCGGACAGGCCAGACAGGACTCACTGGCCAGCTGTCCACAGCACTGCTGTGTGGGTCTCGGGCTCGCTGCCCCCCTCACTGGCCTGTTTCTGGGTCTGTGCACCTGGGTATCTAGGTGAAGGGTGCTTGGCGCCTTCTGCTGTTCCTGCCATCTTCCTGTAGACTGCAGACCTAAGACAGACGGGGGAAGGCCAGCTTGTCCCTCTAAGCACACTGCCCCAGCCACCCTCTCAGACGAGCCTGCTTCCCTCCTGCAGTAGCTCCAGTGCTGTCACAGCCTGGTCCCCTCTGCTCCTCCATCCCCTGGAGCAGGGACCTTGGTGCAGTGTCCATTGTGTGGCTGCTGCCCTCTGCCCCTCTTGTCCACTGCAGCGCTGAGCCTTCCAGAAGGCCTTGCCAATGGCCTCGGGCCTTCCTGCCTCTGTCCCCCAGCTCTGGTCTCCCAGGCCCTCCTGCCCTGTCCCCCAGCTCTGGTCCCCCAGGCCCTC